AGCTTACGAGGAAATGTTTTCCACGGCTTTACGAGGAAAACTTTCCTCGTAAATTAGCTAGGCCTTTACGAGGAAAATAGCCTTTACGATGAACGTCTTTCGACGAAACACGTTTCCTCGCTATTTCCTAGTAAAGGGCCATTTACTAGGAAATAACGAGGAAAACCCGTCCTAGTAAAGGACGTGTTTTCTTGTAGTGTTTTGATTATATAATGTAATAGAATCTCTATAATATTATTTGAGAAGTCACTTTCTTAGGTGTCGCGTTCACGTTAACTCTCACGCTGGTTGATTACTATGATACCCCTAATGAATTAAAAATATATTAAAAATATTATTATTTCCTTTTTAAAATCTTCTAAATAACAATATAAAACAAAAAGGAAATATTTATAAAATTTACAAAACTATTTAAAAACGAAAAAATATAAGTATATATATAATTTGGTTTTATAAAAAGGAAAGTTTACAAAATAGTAATATTTAACTTAAATATATTTTTAAATAACATAAATTATACTTTTTAAGTAATTATACTTTATATCTATATCTTCTTAGATGAAAAAAAAATATTTGTATATAATGTGTTTTCATAAAAAAAGTTCATACAGATAATCTTGATATTAGAAAAAGAAATATTTTTTAAAAAAATAATAATTTCAACAATAAAATATATATTTTCAAAGTAATTATTTTTGTATATATATATATATATATATCTATTTTATTAGATGATTACATAAAATAATTAAGTAACATAAACTGATATATGTTTAATTGACAAAAAAATTATAATTAGTATATTTATTTGATTATAATATCTTACAGTTACAGCAAAGGATATAATTATATTTTACTTATATAATATAATTTCTCAAAAACAATCACATTTTACTGCATATTTTAAGAGATATTAAAAAAACTAAAAATAAATTTAATAATAAACATCTTTTCATCAAATAACTACAATTCTTTTAAAATATCATAACACTATATAATTTAACGAGGTAGATACATTATGTTTTAATAGTTAAAATTATATGTTTTCTTAATAACTCTTTTGATGTTTAATTTTCTGTTTTTATGTTCGTGGAATTTAATATAACCATAATCAAAATACTTAAGCAAATCAGAATTCTTTATTTTAAAAATTATTTAAAATAAATTTCAGTTTACCATCCAATCAATCTAAGGCATAAAGTATTTAAAATTTATAAAATATTTAATTATTGAAAATATTGATATGTGTTCATAAGCTTCCAAAAATTTATTATTACTTATGTATGTAATTTAGAATCAGACACTTTAGTTTTTATTTTTTCGTTCTAAGCACAAAAAATCTAAAAATACATAATCTTACTAAGATATACTTATAGTTCTAAGATAACAACCAACATAAATGTAAATAAAACAATTAATCGAAAATTTAAGATATTCAAAATAAAAAAAGATTATAATTGAATTCAGAGAAATAGATAGAATCCAATATATATATATATATATATATATATATATATATATATATATATATATATCCAAATGATAAAACTAGCTAAATATAATATATCTAAAATAATATATAACTAAAATAATATAATATTATTAATATAAATCACACATAAAAACTATAAACTAATATAAAAGTTAATATAAAAGTAAAGTAAATATCAATCAACTATTATAATATATTTATTTTATAAATATTTATGCCCGTGCATAAGCACGGGAAAATCATCTAGTAAATTAATTATTTCAACAAAAAAACTAAATTGTTTCCATAGCCAATCTGAAGCTGGGATGTAATTTGATTACGCAAAAAAATAACGTGGCTACGTAAAAGAAACGTATTAAACAGTTACAGGTGGCATTATGTTGTTTAACACAAACCTACGTTATTAATTGTGACGTGGCAGTGGAAAGTAATTAAAACATAATTAAAACGGAGGCAAAAGAAAAAAAAAACTCGAAACTGGAAAGCTAACGGATAAAATAGATCGTTGCTTCGCTTCTCTCCATTGCTAACAGAAACTTCCCGCTTTCTTTTTTTTCCCCCAATTCTCGATTCTCTAGGGTTTTTAATTTCGCGCTTTCAATGGCGGACTCGACGGCGGGAAACGCCGATTCTCTGAGACTGGAGTTAAAGAAGGCGATGACGGAGATACTCGAGGACGGAGGAGTAAGCGAAGATCGCGGTGAGGCTGACGAAAGATGCGATTCGAATCTGAAACTTGATGAGGCGATTCGAATCCTAAATTCTCTGAGGGAAGTTGAATCGAAGAAGATTCCTGACTCTTCGTCTTCTTCTGTGCTCGAAGTGCCGAAAGAGTTCAAATGTATGCTCTCGCGTGCGATCATGAGCGAACCTGTAGTCATTTCATCTGGCCAGGTTTACTATTTCCCTTTATTTTACTATTTCTTTGCTAATCTTTCTATCAAGAAGTATATATAAGTTTCGATATATTCAGTTTCTATGAGTGCTTAATGCTTATATATGTGTAAATGCACATTCTCTAAACAAAAGAAAGAGAGTTAATGCTTGAAATCGCCAAGAAACGTAATGCTTGTGTATGTTTTTGTATCCGTATGGAATATGTTCTCATATACAACGATATGTTACAAAAAAAAGATAGATACAGATATGAGCTATTTGTGGTATATGTACATGTACGCAGCCTTCTTTTATATGAACAAAGCATATAACTTTCCATATATTCAACTGTTATGAGGGCTATTTGTGTATATGTACATGTAGGAGAGTATTGTATCATCCAAAAGAAACAAAGCTATGCTTGACATTGCTAAGAATGTGTATGTTTGTATCCGTATAGAATGTGTGCTCATCATAGGTGTAGATAGTATATAGAGGACTGTGTATCCAAATGTGTGCTTATATAAATGTGTTTGGTGCTGATGATTTGGTCTTTTGTTTCTTCTTTTTGTGACAGACCTATGAAAAGAGATACATCAGTCAGTGGCTGATGTATAAAATGACATGTCCCAAGACTAAAGAAGTCCTCTCTCACCGTCTGTTCTCACCCAACCATTCGATCGCTGAGTTGATTACGCAATGGTGTCAAGTCAACAAGTACCATCTGCCAAAACCATCTGCTGCACCCGTTGGCCTATTCCCTGATGACATACACCTATTGCTTGAGAAGATCTCCTCACCCTCCTCAGTTGAAGATCAGACAGCAGCTGCAAACGAGCTCCGCCGTCAGACCAAGAGATTTGCCAATGTTCCGGCCTTCTTTGTCACTGAAGTCCCTGATTCCATCACACGTTTGCTCACTCCGCTCTCTGCTTTGGGCGAGGCCATTGACTCGAACCCGGGCCTTCAGAAGGATATCATCACCGCGTTGCTCTACATCTCGAGGCTTGAGGAGAACAAAACAGCAGTTGCTCAGCATCCTCTTGTGATCCCACTGCTGACAAAGTCTTTGAAGAAGGGGACAGATAAGACGCGAAGAAACGCTGCAGAGGCCTTATCGGAACTTTCAAAACTTGATTCCAACAAGAGCATCATTGGGAACGTGGAGACACTCAAGGCTTTGGTACATGTCATCAAAGAGGATCATTTCACAGCCGCCATAAACGCCTCTTATGCTGTTTTCCAACTCTGTTTCATACCGGAGAACAGGGACAAAGTGGTTTCAGAAGGTTTGGTTCCCGCGCTGATCAACAGGATTAAAGAACGAAGCTTTGTGTATATCTACTTTGATGTCTTGTCGCTTATGACTACACAAAACGGGGTGATTGAAGAAATGGAGGATCTAGGGTTTGTCGATGTCATGCTCAGTATCTTGAGGAATACGAGTTGCCCAGTGACTGGAGAGGACGGTGTATCGGTTGTCCTCCTTCGCATGTGCGATGTGAACACGGGTGACAGAGACAGAGAGAGGACTAGGCTGAAACTGATCAAAGAAGAGGAGGAGAAATACTCGACATTTACGAAGTTTGCAACGCAAGGATCACAACGTGCAGTGGCAGAAGCAGAAGCGATCTTGCAGTGGATCAAGAGATCCGGTACAGGTGAAGAAGAGCCATAAAGGGGATGAAGGGAAATCACCACACTCAGGTCTTGTAGATAAATAAAAAGAATTAGTTCTGGAAACTGAGTCTTTTGAATGTAAAAAAGTCTAGGAAGAGGCAAAAGTTTTATAGTTTTTTTTTCTGAGAACGGTTTAGTACCTAAAGAGGGCCTGAGTGTTGCTACTCTTAGTTGACGTTTCTGATTCATATTCCGGCTAGTGAAATCATCCGAGAGGATTGCGTAACTCCCAAGTCATGTGGTTCTGTATTGTATTCTTCTAGATGCTAAGCTGTGCACTGTCCCATTCATGGAACGGCAAACTTTTTGACTGCTTCCACTTTCTTTTTGTCTATAGAGTTTGCGTTATTGTTACCAAGCGGAGTTTGGGTTTATATAGACAATTTTTGGCGGCCCTATAGTGAATTTTAATTACATAAGACTTTTTTTTTGTCACTAATTACATAAGACTATAAGGACATGTACATCAATAAACCTGTAGGGAGGGGTTCACAAAACTTTTTTTTTTTTTTCGTTTTGACTTTAAAAAAAGAAAAAAAATTGGACCAATTGTGGGCCGCCACGTGGTGTGGGGCCCGCGGAATAGTGATGAACCAGCATGAAATGAATCCACCCCATTTGACTTATTTTATTATTTTCTTTTCTTGAAAAGTGTGAGAACTCCACCTATAAAACTCTAATGTGGGTGCTCTAAGAGTGAGTTTATATATAAGTATTGACTGTTGGAGATAATCTTGAAGTTAACTTGCTGAACAATTTACACAAGTCCTTATCAAGATAGGTTAAAAAAAGTTAGTTCCTAGGAGTTTAGGAAACTTTAATGGCTATATAAAGAGTTGCAAGAGTGTTGCTTTACGTGTGATAAGATCGGCCACTTCGCTGTGACTTGTCACGATAGACTGCTAAAATTACAGAAGGCACACGAAACTAAAGAAGATGATACACATGAAGCTCATGGTTTAATGATGCACGAAATAGTATATCTTAATGAGAAAAACGTGCAGCCTAAAGTATTTGAGCCAGACATGGATGGGGACAAGATTTGGTATCTCGATAATGGCGACAACAATCACATGACTAAACAAACACTACTTTAAAAGTATTGATGAAACCATTACAAGGAAGGTAAAGTTTGGGGATGACTCAAAAATCAACATTGAAGGCAAAGGTTCCATCTTATTCATCACACAAACCAGCGAGAAGAAGCTACTATCCAATGTCTACTACATACCAAACCTAAGAAGCAATATCATAAGTCTTGGCTAAGCTACAGAATCAGGTTGCGACACAAGAATGAGAGAAAACTACCTTACTCTACATTATAGAGATGGCAACTTGATTGTAAAAGCAAGTAGATCAAGAAATCGCCTCTACAAGGTGCTTATGGAGGTAGCTAATCAAAAATGTTTACAACTAGAGGTGCATAGTGACTCCACGAGATTGCATGCGAGGTTAGGCCACATTAGCCTTGACTCAATGAAGTTAATGATACGAAAGGAGTTGGTTCCAGGAATACCTAAAATCGAAGTGGAGAAGGAAACATGCGAATCATGTTTGTTAGGGAAGCAAACATGTGAAGCCTTCCCACATGCGACCACTTATCAAGCAGAAGAGATCCTAGAACTCATTCACAGAAGAAATCTATGACCAATTACACCAGCTAAAGCAGCAAGGAATAGGTACATATTTGTACTTGTGGACGATCATCCAAACACTTCAAAGCAGCGGTGGAACAAGAGACAAAGACGAACATCAAGATGTTTCAAGCGGACATAGGTGGAGAGTTCACATCTAAAGGATTTCTAGAGCTCTGTGAGATTGCAGGAATTCAACGACATTTAACTACTCCCTACACGCCACAGCAAAACGAAGTTATAGAACGACGAAATAGAACCCTACTGGAGATGCAAGGAGTATTCTAAAACATATGAGCATACCTAACTTTCTATGGGGTGAGGCCATAAGACACTCTACATACCTCATCAATATAGTGGTAACACGAAGCCTGACGAGCAAACAGCATACGAGGTTTCAAAGGTTTGCCACCACTTAAATAAAAAAACTCCAAAAAAGTGTAAGTTAGATATATAATTCTACCCAAAAAAATAAGGCGAAAATAAAAAATAAGTTAGTATATAAGAAAATAAGTTGGCCACAAAAAATCTATAATTTATAACAAATTTGCTACCTCGTACCACAAATATATTCTTAAAATTTTATTTTCTATTCAAATCGGACAATTAACTATGCGGTGGAAACAAATTTGACGTTTTTTTACTCAGATTGTATAAACATATTTACTACTCGACATATTTATTTTTTGTAAATAAATTTACTATTGATAAAATGTTAATGGTAGTTAGGTATTTTTCTTTTTGTTATAACTATGGGCAAGAGAAATTTCGACGAGAAAAATATTTTAATAATAATATGAGGCATTCCAGTAATAACACAATTAATTTGTGTTATTTTATTTAATTTCCCTATTTTCTATTTAGTTCTTCATTCTTCTTGAAATAAGAAATCATAGTATAGTTGTCTTCTTTTGGCTTAATGTCAAAATAAATGCTCATATAAAGCAAAATTTAACAATTTACTAAACAAAACATATCACTAATTATAACTTACTATAGTATAACCGGAGATAATAAGAAAACTTGCCACACATGCATCTCATTCTTTTTTTCTCCTTCATACATTTTTCTTTCTCCCTCTTCCTTCAATCACAAGCAACCCAACAATCTCGTTTCATTTATTGCCCTCATTCTTCTCTCTCATCCCCACAAAGGAGAGATGGAGATAAGAAAGGAACCAAATATACCCATGACTCTAGTCTTAGATTCTTCTTCTTCCAGGTCCTTCATGGCTCTTCTCCTGACCGTTATCCTCTTCCTAACCGGCCTAGCTTCATCAAGTGGAGGCCCACCCGCTGCTTTTAAACCAGCAGATAACATTCTCATCGACTGCGGCGCCAAGTCGTCGGCCAAAACACCTGAAGGTAGAGTCTTCAAGAGTGACTCAGAGACGGTCCAATACATAGAAGCCAAAGATGATATTCAGGTCTCTGCCCCACCTTCAGATAAACTCCCTTCTCCTCTTTACCTAACCGCGAGGCTCTTCCGACAAGAAGCCATTTACAAGTTCCATATGACTCAGCCTGGCTGGCATTGGGTTCGTCTCCATTTCTTTGCCTTCCCCAATGACAAGTCTGATCTCCAACAAGCAACGTTCTCTGTCTTAACAGAGAAATACGTCTTGCTTCATAACTTCAAGATGAGTAACAACAACAATGATAGCCAAGCTGTTGTTCAGAAGGAGTACCTTGTCAACATAACAGATGCTCAGTTCTCTCTTAGGTTCAAACCTATGAAAGACTCTGCCGCTTTCATCAATGCCATTGAAGTCGTGTCTGCTCCAGACGAGCTTATATCTGATGCAGGTACTTCTTATTTTTTCCTCTTTTTTTGAATACCAGGAGGTTCGGGTACCGTAATCCCCACGCACGAGGCCCGAAAACATGTAATATTAGTTTCGTCCCAGCGGTCATTCGAACTGGCGAAGTTTGACACAATGTGCAAGGATCCTTTCTAATTGAGCTAATGACCTCTGGTATGTGCAGGTACTTCTCTTTTCCCAGTCAAAGGATTTTCTGGTCTGTCTGGTTACGCGTACCAGCCGGTCTACAGGGTCAACGTGGGTGGCCCCTTGATCACGCCACAGAACGACACACTAGGAAGAACATGGACACCAGACAAAAAATATTTAAAAGATGAGAATCTTGCTAAGGATGTCAAAACAACCTCTTCTGCCATCATCAAGTATCCTCCTGGAGTCACACCGCTCATTGCACCACAGACCGTTTACGCAACAGCCGCAGAGATGGCTGATTCTCAAACCATAGATCCTAACTTCAACGTCACATGGAACTTCCCATCAAATCCATCGTTTCATTACCTTATCCGTCTCCATTTCTGTGACATTGTAAGTAAGTCGCTCAACGACCTCTACTTCAACGTTTACGTCAATGGCAAGACTGCTATTTCTGGACTTGACTTGTCCACTTTAGCTGGTGGTCTTTCTTCTCCTTACTACAAAGACATTGTGGTGAACTCCACTCTCATGAAACCTGAGCTTCAGGTTCAGATTGCTCCCTTGGGAGAAGAAACAGGGACCAAGAACGCGATATTGAATGGTGTCGAGGTTATGAAGATGAGCAACTCAGTGGACAGTCTTGATGGAGAGTTTGGAGTTGATGGGAGAACAACGGGTGCAGGGAGGCATGGGATGGTTGCAACCGCGGGTTTTATGATGATGTTTGGTGCTTTCGTGGGGCTTGGAGCTATGGTTTACAAGTGGAAGAAGAGGCCACAAGATTGGCAGAAGAGGAACAGTTTCTCTTCTTGGTTGCTACCGATGCACTACGGTGACACTAGTTTCACGGCAAGCAAAGGTGGTTCTCACTTGTACAGCTCCGGTGGTCTCGGACGCAGTTTCTCCTTCTCAGAGCTTCAAGAAGTCACAAAGAACTTTGATGCGTCGGAGATAATCGGTGTGGGTGGTTTTGGGAACGTTTACATTGGAACAATTGATGATGGAACTCAAGTGGCTATCAAGAGAGGGAATCCACAGTCAGAGCAAGGGATCACAGAGTTTGAAACAGAGATACAAATGCTCTCTAAGCTCAGGCATAGACACTTAGTCTCGTTGATTGGATACTGCGACGAGAACTCTGAGATGATTCTTGTCTATGAATACATGTCCAACGGTCCTTTCAGAGACCATCTCTATGGTAAAGAAGACTTTACTCCTTTGACGTGGAAACAAAGACTCGAGATATGCATTGGAGCTGCACGTGGGCTACATTATTTACACACTGGAACTGCTCAGGGCATTATCCATCGTGACGTCAAATCTACAAACATTCTACTTGATGATGCTTTGGTTGCTAAGGTCGCTGACTTTGGTCTCTCCAAAGACGTAGGTTTCGGACAAAACTATGTCAGCACGGCCGTGAAAGGTAGTTTCGGGTATTTAGACCCGGAATACTTCAGGAGACAGCAGCTTACGGATAAGTCAGATGTGTATTCCTTTGGTGTTGTTCTTCTAGAAGCTTTATGTGCAAGACCAGCGATTAATCCTCAGCTTCCGAGGGAACAGGTCAACTTAGCTGAATGGGCTATGCAATGGAAACAGAAAGGGTTGTTGGAAAAGATCATTGATCCTCATCTGGTTGGCACTGTGAATCCTGAATCTATGAAGAAGTTTGCAGAAGCTGCTGAGAAGTGTTTTGCGGAATATGGTGTTGATAGACCATCAATGGGAGATGTATTGTGGAACTTAGAATATGCTCTTCAACTTCAAGAATCCTTTTCTCAGAGTGATAAAAGTGAGTCTGAAGAGGTTGAAACCGGGAAGACCGTGGCTTCTCCCCCACCTGTTCCAGCTGCCGCAACAGTCACCGCCGCCGCAACAAGTGAACCGCCGGCTTCTCAGACTGGTGAGAAGGATGGCTCGGAAACCGCCAGGTTTACTCAGCTTGCTAGCCTCAATGGAAGATAAAAGCTGCTGAACAAGATTAGTAATATAATGTGTTGTTTCTTTTTTTTAGTATTTGAGTGGTGGATGAATAATACTCTGATAGATTTAGCTACTCACTCTCCCATATTGTAGCTTGTTGATACTTAGGTTACACAATAAGACATTTTCAAGTTTTTAACCAAGTGTTTGTGCAGTAAACTCCCCCTCTTACTGCCTTGAGATTACCTGTGTATGACCACAAATCATTATATGTATGAATTGAAATAGGTAGTTATACTTCTTCAAATGAAAAAAGTAGATCATTTTGGTGACAAGGATTAAGATACAAAGGGAGCTTTTACATTTAGTAAAGCAAAAAAAGTGAAAATGTTACAGAATCTATATGACTCGAGAGTTGCTGAGCTCCTCCTCCAGTGGATCCTGTCCTAAACAAAATATTTAACAATCCGAGTAGTTTCTTCCCCATGAAAGAACCCCTAGTTCATACTTGTATTTCTCGTGACACAACCTCAAAAAGTTAGAAAGAAAAATATATATATATAAAAAAAAGAGCTAAGGATTCAGAGATGCTTAAGAAAAAAGTCTACGCAACTCTTCTCTTTTTCTTGCTCACAGTAATGGGATTTTCAATCTCCATGAGATCATCATCTTCACTCTCGACGTTCTCTGTTTCTCTCTTATCATTATCGGAGAGTCTTCTCTTCTTAGAAGCAATCTCTGGTCCTGAGGAACTCTCTGTGACATCGACAGCGCTCTCATTGTTTGATGTTGACGCGCTCTCATTGTTTGATGTTGACGCGCTCTCACCGTTGAGAGCTGGAGATTGTGTCCAGCCAGACAGAACCATTCCTTCAGGTTCTTTTTCCTCGTCAAATTCTTCCCTGTGACAGAACATAATTAAGCAGAGGATGTCTAAATCGTCGGACATGGAATGACTATTCGAAAGATTTAAGTACATTTTTGCGAAGTACTAAAATATTTTCTGATAAATCCCATCACAAAATACGAGCTTTCATTATTTGATTCCCCGAAACCAAAATGATATTAACAGGATTTAAAATGTTTAAGAGAAATAAACCTGTGCTTGACATTAATCTTGCAAGATAGCTCTTGTTGAAGATCTTCCACAGTGAGGATGCTTCCATTGATAACGGGAGAAGGAAGTTCTGATAAAGACTGAAAAAACAAAACTTAACATGTAAGAAACTGCGAAATCCCAGCCTGTGTCTGAAGAGCAAACTGAAGAACAACCCAGACCGAACCTTCTCGAGATTAGCATTGTAGTTTGCAACCATAATATCATCAAGATCATCACCAACTTCGTAAAGAAGTGATGCCCCGTGCATAATCATTGGTAGATTCATTCCAAGCTTGGCTTTGACAATTTTATCAACTAGATCCCTTAGTTTCGATTTCTGAGTATTGATCTCAAGTACTAATGGGGTCTGTCAATATGAAAATAGAAAAAAATCTGATGATTGGTAAAACACAAGACGGAATGCAAAACACAAAAGTTATGTTTATACCTTGGAACAGACATAGCAAGAAGGATTAGGTTCAAATGGCTCCACTGGCATAAGAAGCATCTTTCTGCTTGGGTGTTCTAAGCAATACGTCATTCTACAGACAGACATTGAGAATAAAAATAAGATTCTAAGGATTCTGAAGCTAATGAAATAAGATATCAAAAGTAACAAACCTGTACTTGTCCGCATCCTTTTTCAGCACTTTGATTGCTTCAATAACAATCAAACCAGCAACAATGGCGTTAGTAGTAGCAACGGCATGAACAATGTTCCCAGCGATACCTTTGGCTTCAAAAAGACTGTGCAAAGGAATTCCAAAAGACTCAGCACGGATATTTGCAGCAGCAGTAACAAATTCTACAGCTAATTGGTCATCTTTGTCAAAAGTAAGGTGTCCTATTTCCTGTAGCAGCATATATATACAAAACCCATGAATTAATTAGTACACTGAAAGCTTATGTATAGACGGGGAGAGTTTACAGAAAAGACTACACAGACCTTCTTTCTCTTTGCGAAGAACAACTTCAATGCTTCTATGAACACTAGAGAATTCTGTGTTAGACCCCACAATTCTTGTGGATTCTTCAGGCCAAGCAACGGCATGGAAGAGACGGTAGAATCATCATCAGTAGCAGAACAATTCTGAGCGCTTCCATTTTTTTGAGTCAGACTTTCAGGCAATACTTCCTTACTGTATATAGGCCTTGGTCGTCTACGATTTTTCCATGTCTCCTCATTGGCCAAAGCCGCTTCAATGTTATAACCAAACACATGATCATATATCTTTCTACCATACTGTTCAATATCTTCATCTTCTGCACGTTCGAATACATCATCTGTTTCTTTCGATGTTGTAGCCGCCTTGTTGGCACGCACGTTAAGATCATTATCCTGATTCTTGTCGCCAAACAATTTCGCAAAGAGCAGGTCTTTCGCCCACACGATACAGTGCACAAACTGTAGAATCAATCCAAAATCCAATGGCACATCAAAATGAAGCACTACGACTTCGGATAAGAGTATTCCAGATATTTAAATGATTTCCCCGAAAAGTTAAGGCGGATGTCAATACCTTAGTAGGAGTGCTGGTTATTGTACAGACAGGATATGTCTTTGGAGTAGGTTTGGTTTGGCACTCATAGCATTCTGTCTTTCCCTTTACGTGCACAGTTACCTGATTCAAACAAGTATAAGATTGAGAGAAATGCTATCAGTTAAGATTATTGTTAGCAAAAAAATGGTATCAGAACCTGTCCTAGGAAGCCTGTAGTCCCGCTTTCGACAAGAGGAACATCAGCTGCGAGACAGAGACGGTTGACATGACGCCTTGCGTCCAAGTTGTCAAGTCCATTCAGAACAACATCAAACTGCTTGAAAAAATCAACATCGAACTCTGGATTCTTCACATTAGCATGGTATGATCTTATATTAATGTGAGGCCTAAATCTCAAGACTGCATCTCTGGCAACCTGGTAAATAAAAAAAAAGATAAATATTTAACTCTGATTATATAACCACTTTGGAGTTAGGTGAAGAAAGAAAAAAAAGACCTTAGCCTTGGAGAGGCCGACATGAGAACGACGGAATAAGAATTGCCTATTGAGGTTACTGACTTCAATGGTGTCCATGTCAATCTGCAACACACAAGCGAGTAAACAGCATTGGATTTAAAAAAAAAAAAAAAAGTAATCTTTATTTCTAATATGCAAAGGTAGAATCCTAAACCCTAAAATCAAAGTCGGAGATTCAAAATGTTTCAACTTACGATATGAATGTCATGGAAGCCAGAGAGAGCAAGAGTCTTGAGTAACTCGCAGCCAATCCCACCAGCTCCGACCATTAGCACTTTCGCCCCCTTAAACGCAAAACGACAAACATTCAAAAACACAACTGGATTGAGTTTAAAAAAAGAAAGAGAGAGTAGCTTTTCAGAGCTTACTTGAACTGGGGATTGTTGCTGCTGCTGCTGCGTATCCATGGGAGGAGACGTGACAAGACGGATCAATACGCTATGTCAGATTCGAAGAAAATGAAAAGCTTTTTAGGGCTTGAATCGGAAGCAGAGGAAGTAGAGAATCTAATCTAGGGTTTATGTGGAATGGATTCGGGAAGAGTTATTTGGAAGAGACTGCTCTGCTCCAGTGGAAAACAAAGAGACTCACTTGCCGGGGGCTTTTCTGTAAATTTCCTCTTTCTAGTTTTTTTCTCCCTCTCTTTTATAAAGAACTAGGTGATTTTCCCGTACTCATGCACGGATATAATTATTTTTAAATTAAATATATAATAATAATTGATTATTATTTATTTTTAATTTTAAATTAATTTATAATTTGTATGCATCATTTATATTAATAGTATATTACTTTATTTATACTGTAATTTTATATATGTTATATCTAGTCAATTTTGTTGTTTTACGGTTGGTTTAGTTACCATTTGGATAAATTGGATTACATCTCTGAATTCAACTGTAATATTTTTAAAATATATTAATTTTTAATTAGTTACTTATTTGCATATGGTGGGTGTTGTCTTAGATATATAAATAAATTTTAGGAAAATTATGTATAACTTAAGATATATTGTGCTTAGAATGAATTAAAAATTAACTAAAGTGTCTGATTCCAAAATACGTAAATTAATATAACGAAAATATTCTAAAGTCTAATGGATATATATAAATTTTACAAAAGAACTAAAATTGTAAGAGTTGGTTAGTATTTATTTTTATTTGTTAACATGTTTTGAGTTATCATATGATCAATAAAAGGTTACATTCATTTATAAATTCTAAATAACTTTATGTTTTAGATTTATTGAATGTAAACTGAAATTTATTTTAAATAATCTTAAATTGAGAATTCAGATTTGCTTTGATATTTTGATTATGGTTATATTTAGTTTCACAAACATAAAACATAAAATTTAAAACAATTAATATTAATAAAATAAATAATTTTAATAATGATAAAATATCATATATCTAGTGCATTAGAACAATTATTTTGACCAAACTATGTTTATTGTTAAATTTATTTTTAGTCTTTAATCTATTAAAAATAAGCACTACACAAAATTGTGATTGTATTTGAAAATAATATTATATAAGTAAAATATAAGTTCTAGATAATTTTCTGTAATTGAAAGACATTATAGTCAACTAAATATATGAAAAATAAATAAAAATTCAATAATACTAATTATAAACTATTTTATTACTCTAAAAGTATATTTTATGTTATTTAAAAATATTTTAAATGTATGATTACTATTTTGTGAACTTTCCCTTTTTATGAAATTATATTATATATACATATTTTTATGTTATTTAAAAGTATTTTAAATGTATTATTACTATTTTGTCAACTTTCCTTTTTTATGAAATCATATTATATATACAAATATTTTCGTTTTAAATTTGTTTTTTATGATTTTATAAAAAAATGCTTTTTTATTACATATCTTTTTGGAAATTTTTGAAAAGGAAAAACTAAA